CCTCACTCCACAGCACCGGCGGTAACCCCTGCTGCCATGCAGGACACCCCTGGGCTCTCCCATCTACATCCTTTAGCTGGTCAGCTGAGTGTGAACTGGGGTTTGGGGAGGGGTGTGGAGCCTATCAAAGCCACCGCAGGACAGGCCACTAACAACTGAAACAAAGGCCACGGCACACAGGAGCAGAAGAAAATAGCAAGGAAGTCAGTGGATTCAGACACCCACCAAGCAACTGTAATGACAAAATGACACAATGGCACAAGGGTGGGACAAAGGAAGAAGCAAAAATCATATGAAGAACTCGATGCTCCTGTACACTTCAGAGGAGATGCACCCACTGTCCAAGGCGCCACGTGCAGCCACTTCCCAGTTGAACCCTAACTGAAGAGTACGTCCCCTCTCCTCCAAACCAGCTCGTGCTTCCAGCTCCCAACTCACAGCAGCAAGCGTCTGTCTCAGGTGGAGGCTCACTGGCATCTGCAGATGGCGCAGATCCACCACCAGATTTCTCACCAGAAAAGCAGAGCTGACCACCCGCTTTGCCTTCAGAAAACACGCTGCCCTTGGAGCTCAGAGCCTCTGGCAGTAGAGTTCATACAAGCTACTTGCCAGCTTCTGTGTCTCTTGAAACGCTTCACAGCTCTGCTCCCAACTTGGGGGTATCTGTTCCTCCCCATAATAAGCCCCTGCAATGGCTCCTGCCATGGTAGCAATGGTGTCTGTGTCTCCACCCAGAGAGATACAGTAGATGATGGTCCTCTGCAGGTTGTTGTAGTGATCAGGAATATCTGGGTCAGCTTCCATACAGCGCAAGAAGGAGTAAATCGCAGTAGGGACAGACCGCAAAGCAGCAATGCCGTTGCCTGTTAAGAAAACCAATCTCCTTCAGTGCTGCAGGAAACTCGCTTCTTGCTTCCCACAGAAGTACTTTTTCCCTTCTGACTGCAACTTCCCATTGCCAGTTACTTTCAATACCATTCTCACTAATTTTATCGTGACGAGGTGCAAAAGTTTGCATCCCAGAAAAGAAATCGCCCTGTAGTTCCCCAGTACTACTCACATCCTGGACACCAACTCCCAGCTACACCAGTCCAGTTTGGCAATACACATCTACCCGTTCCCATCCAATGTGAAGATCCACTAGCCATTAAGAGAAGAGATCTTAGAATACTGAGAAATGTTACTCGTGCTAAGTTTTTCTTAGCAAGATATTTTTTTCCCACCAATACAGAGGGTCAAGGCCAGGTCAATACTCGAGAGAGTTACTGACTGGTGAGCACAGTCAGCCTTTCCAGCACATTCTGTGCCTGACAGGCAGCAGAGGTCGATGTGGCAATCTGGGGGAGGACACATCAGCCAGGCTTGCTGAGTTAGTCCTGCTTCCAGCTCCTTCCTCATACTTGTAGTAAGAAAGGTACTCACCTAATTCAAACAATACATCTGCTTTGGGAACGCTGCTGAGCTCCAAAAATTCCTTTATTTTCTTTAGGCGCCTTGAAAATGGTAAATCCTCAAATCCCAGCCTAGAAACAAGAATACAATGAAGAAGAGAGAACGCGAAGAGCCAAATAAACAGTACAGAGCAGACTTAGCGCTCCTCACAGCTACTTACGCTCGAGCATCAGTAAGAGACTTATCATCTGCCTCTACATCTTCCATGTGGCTAATGAGCTGCTCCAGGAAGGTCTCCTTGCTGAGCTCTCCCTGCAGCGCCAGATGCACAGCCAGGGCTTGCAGGATGGCCCCGTTGTAGCCCAGGGAGTTGGCATGGGTTAACTCGGCACTCAGCTTCGCAAACTGAGAATGGAAACACATTGTTAGCAAACCTGCCTGAGACATCATGGTGAAACTCGCCTGACAGCAGGGACTCCCAGAGCCCACGTGCCCAAAGCAGCTAGGAACGGTACCTTCTTAATATCCTGGACATCAGAATACACAAGTGAGATGCCTGCCACCCTCATGGCACCGCCATTGCCATAGGAGCCTTTCCCGTTAAACTGGGCTCTTGCTGGTTCAAACACATCATTGCATTTGGGGCTCAGAAGCTTTTTGAAGACGTTGACAACAGCCATCCCATAGCCCCGATTGGGTTCTTTCTTGTACTCCTCAGCAAACCTGGTGTGGGCAAGAGAGCGGCAGTCACGCAGGTGAGAAAGAAAATGCACGGGATATTTGGTCTGTTACTGAAGTTTGTGAAGAGGCTGTACACAGCCACTTGGTGAAGTGAATTAGTAACACGTGGATCATTCAGTGACAGTCAGGCTTCAA